AAATCCACTACTGTCGTCTTCTGTGACTTTGGGCATGTGGGGCAGTGGCTGTAGACAGACGGGCCGATCTCTAAGGGCTCCTTTCAGCTTTGAAAACTGTGCTGTTAAAAATGAAAGTAATAAATGCTTGTTTTAAAAAAATCAAACCCAGCAGAAGTATATGACGTCAAAAGTGAAAGACCCCTATTTTTCCCTATTCAATACATTCCCGAGGTAACACTTGTTACCGCTTCGTGTCCTTTCATTGCTTTCTGTATATTTTAAATACACGCAGGTGTATGTAAATATATGTATATACAGGGTGGGGCAAAAGTAGGCTTACAGTTGCTGGTATGGAAAATAACACAATGATTAATAAATCATAATACAAAATTAAACTCTCTCACATACAACTGTAACCCTACTTTTGCCCCACCCTGTATGTATAGATAGGTGTATTTTACACAATGATGTATTACACACATATGAACCGTTTCATAAAACTATACTCATCCTTACTACGTGTCATATATTCTGATGTATTCTATTCTACACCTTTTTTAATGTTGGAATTTGATCTCATGACCGCAAAATAGGTGGCACCTTGCAATTTATAAACAAAAAACAAATGAACCAAAGAACTCCGCTCTAGACCATGGGCCCATGGATGCTTAGAAAGACAAGCGGAGGAAGCATGGACACCCTGTGACGGTAGAATCACATACAGGCTCCCTGGAAGAGGAATAAATGACATGGATATCACTAATCACTAATAGGTCCTCGGTGCACATAGCTCCTCTGTCACCTCCTGCAGTATTCCTGTCCCCCAGTGTTTAAAGGACTGTTGCTACTCCACCGCCGATATAAAGGCATCACAGTCATGAGCTGCCGGCCAAAGCTAATTCCCTTACTGTTTTTGATTCTCGACCAACAGTAGGCGATGGAGCAAAGCTGCCTACATAATAAAAGTAGCTTATCATTTTCAAAAAAATTTTTTTGAGGAGCCACCTGGAGAGAGTATTTTGTAAAAGATATTCGACACTGACTTGACTTATTATAAGGACTATACAGAGTCAGGCCCTTTCCAAGGAGCCAGAGCCACGATTACGCGCACACAATGATAAATTTTAGAGCTGGTAGATGCACACCATAGAAGTTGCCTAATTCAAATCTCTCCCTTTTCAGAGGAACAAATTGACGTCCTGGGAGATTATGCAATTTGCCAAAAGCCACTCCTGAAGGTCAAGTGAGTCCCATTACGCCACGCTGGCACATCGAGTATTATACTGTGCCCAGAACTTTCTAGCAAGGTATGTCTTTCCCCCAAAATCTTTAGCAATAAAATTCTTCAAAAGGATGTACATGTCTATCGTCTGCCCAAAAAATTTAAGTGAGCCTACTCCACGGCCCATGTTAGGGGAAGAAGTCCACAATATTATGTGCGTGGTGTACTTTAGAAAGGAAAGGGATGCAAGTAGAATCTCTGTGTCGTCTTCAGAGAGCAAGAAGGAAGCAATGCAAAGCCCTCATTGGCTTCTGAGTGGCTCTGAGGATGTAACTGTCTGTCAGGAACTGCAAACAGTTCCTTAGAACAGGCAATACAGTAAACTGCACAAGGGCAGGAACTTAGTTTTCAGCAAATGTGGGCTGAAAACACTGAAAATTCAATGTCTGTCACTACACTACACAGTCCCAGGCTGCTGTGCGGTTTGATGCAGGTTTGCATTTTAGGTGGTAGACTCTCCCCTTTCCCATAAGGATATGAACTGTCACTTACGTTGAATGACACCCCCCAAACACAGCTTTTGTAAAAGCTGATGAGAGCCTTGAATGGTGTGGCTCAGTGGACTGAGCACTGGCCTGCGAACGGAAGGGTCGCTGGCTGGATTCCCAGGCAGGGCACAGGCCTGGGTTGCGGGTCAGGCCCCCAGGAGGGGGCATGCGAGAGGCAACCGCACATGGATGTTTTTTCTCTCCTGCTCTTTCTCCCTTCCTCTCTCTAAAAATATTTTTTTTAAAGCCACGTGGCTCTTGTAACTTTCACCTAACTGCCTACTTTTCTGCTCTTCGGGTGAGTTGTCGGCTCTGCTGCAGATGGCGGATTACACAGGTTGCCAGCTCACACCTCCAGTGAGGTGTTCCGTGCCTGGGACTATTTTTAACCTGAAACCAGACTCTTCTCTACAATCCACAAAATTATCATTCAAATGTCTCTTGAAATTACAAAACGTCTTGAAAATGACAACTGCCTACCCAAACTAAAGACCACTTTTTAGACACCTACCGCGTATCTATTTTCGTCCTCTCCCTTAAGCTGGTTCTTGTTCCTTATTAAGTTTTCTTCTATATTTCCCATGGTTCAAGTATTTTATCTCATTCCTCTGCCTCTGGGTATTCCAGAGATATTTCCTGTATTTTGTAATGAGAAGGAAATGGGCCCAACTCAGAAAATACATACAAAACTTTATTTTCCCATAATCTCTTCAAAACGTGGTCTTAAGAAAAACGTTTTATTATAAAAAAAAAATACAAAGTAATCAAGGTCAAGGTTATTTAAAACACTTTCCATAGATGGTTTGACTTGATAACTCAATTGCCTGTTGCTGACTTTAACTAGCACTAAATCTGCTAGAAGAAAAATTATACCTCCTAGCCTATTTCTTCATGTCTCTGATACACGCGCGATTAATTCTGCTTTTGTCAGTAAAACTGAAGCTATGAAACAATGCTTTTCCTATGATTTCCTGAAGCTGGGACATTTACCAAAGCAGAAAACATATTATTGGCTACTTTCGGCAAACTATTTCAGCAGAGAGATATTGCAAACACATTAAAAGTGATTCCAACCAAGTATTGATTGGAATTATTGGAACCATGCATTTGGGAAATAACTTTGATCCAATTTTTCCACTTTGACCTACCTGAAAGCAAAGGCTCAATTCACAAATTTAAGTAATGCCCTTGATGAAATGTTTACCATTAAGTGATAATGAAAATCTTAATTTTTATGATTAACTTCAAATAACTCCTTCCAATACTTTAAGTAATAACATTACTCTCACCAAAGTAAGTCTGAGATGCATCTTCTGCCAGATATCACATGCCTCCTGATGTAATTCTCTGGATCACTGTCTCTTCCTAACTCGATCATAACATACTCCACCACAATACATGTAGTCCACATTATGAACTGAATCAGAAGGTAGATTGTTATAAGAAGTAACAGTATTGAATAAGAATTGGCAATCTTATCAATTAATTTTGAATCCAGATGATTAAAAAAATCACTTAATGATACATTAAAATTTTTACAACACCTAAGTTCCTAGGCAATAAAAAAGAAAGGCAATAGTATAGAACCTTAGTAGAACCACCATTCTAAAATGGATGTTCTCATTTTCAGGACAGACTGGAGAAAGTAAGTGAATAGTCTGTTGGCTTCTTCCCACATCTGTTCACAGCAATTATAGAAAGGTCATCTGCAGCCATGCGGTTTCCAGGATGGAAATCAACATTCCCTTACTGTGCTGAGAACAATTTTGCAGGTACTACTAGAATAAGAGAATTTTTGGTTAGGGAGCACCCAAAAGCCTACATAGTATTGAAAAGGCTTCCTGTGTTGAAAAACCAGGAAACTGAGGCTCAGAGAGATTAAGTGCCTAGCCCTAGTAATTCACAGAGCTAGTTAAGAGCCAAGCAAGGTCCAGAATCAAGTTTTGCCAATTATTTCTATTAATGTGAGTTAAGTCTGAAGGTAGGAACTATTGATTGTCCTTCTGGACTGGGATGGGCCTTTGGAAATTTTCCAGTTGTGTGATCTTAAGCAAACTGCGACCTTTCGAAACATTGTTTCCCTCTTCTGTCAAGTGTAGAGAACACCTTACTCTAGCAAAGCGATTGTGAGGATTCCACGCATCTTGTAAAGTGCTTAGCACATGGATTAGCAAATAATAAGCATCAGAAAACAGGTAGCTATTCTTTTCCTCCAGCCCTGGAAACATGGCTGCTCCTACTGTTTGGAAAGACAAGACACTGAATTCAAATAACACAAACGACAAGGCCTACCTTCTCTGGCCTACCACATTCCGCAGACAGGAGAAAATCCCACCCAACAATCTCTTTCACCCCATCTAAAAGCCACCGTTCACACCGTTAAGGAAAACAAAATACCAGCTGCGGCCAGATGTCTTCTGCCCTGTGTCGTACGTTGAATTTGTCAACTAGAAATTGCGAGGTGGGGGGAGGGTTGGCTCCACCCAAAACCTGGCAAATAAACGGTGGGAAAACAGGGGGCCGATAAGATCACACACCTGAACGGGAACTCACAGAAGCTTCTCCTCAGCTCATTTACTCTGGGTTGCTAAGTGGGTGGTAGAAAGCATAATGCTTTCTTTCTGCACGATAAAGCAGGAATAATGGCTTCCTCGAAAAATACAATCCCCCCAGACTTCTCAACACAATAGAAAAGAATCCGTTTCCTTGCCCTAGTAAATTAAAAACGCACACGGGTAACAACTGAGCATCTTTTTTTTTTTTCCCCCCGAAAAACTGAGGACTCGGCTGTATCCGAGCGGCCCTGCATCGTAGGATTATATAAATATACGAAAAATTCCTATGAAATGGCGAGACAAAATGATGGGAAATACCACCTTGAAATCAACAAGGAGGGAATCCTGTCACGCCAAAGGCATCTCCATTGATAAAATCCCGACCCTACATTCTCAGGACAGTGCAAACCCACCTCCCTCTACGGCAATTACAGGGATGGCCTGCGGCAACCAACCTCAGCCTTCGGCGTCGACCAGATCGACCCCTACTCAAATGGCGCTAAACACCGCGGGTCCAAGCCCCTCCCTGGAGCTGCCAAGTCCCGCGCTGCAGCCAGACTACACAACTTCCTTTCCGTCCTCCCTCCCCTGCTCAACCCCTGGCATTTCTCGCCAACCCTCGCCACTGACAGAGAACGTAGGAACCGACAGCCTTCCTACACTTTGTCCGGGAAGTACCAGAGCCACACATACCCGTCCCTATTACGATCACATCAAACTCCGACGGGAGATTGTCCGCCATCTTGACAGGAAACGTGTCATGTGACTATTACTTGTAGAAAGGAGAGCGAGTTAGGCAATGCCGTGGTAGAAACCGGAAGGGAAAACAGTGCATTCTGGGTATTGTAGTTCTTGGGTGGCGAATCCAAGTAGGCGGCTACAGCATTGTATTTGAAATGTTTGTGCGAATGATAAAAGCTTGATTCATTTTCCAGGCTGCGGGCAGTAGGGCGTTTAGCCTGCAGGTTTGGGGTAGAAAAGAGATGTCTGTGTTTACTACGATCGCTAGGATGAATGTGGGGAGATCCTTAACAACGATGAAGCAACAATTATTATTAGGAGGCGCTGAGGACAGATTGAAATAAAAAGGGGATTGCTCTGTGAACAAAGGAAATGTGTATTCCAGCTGAAAACCATGTCTCCAGTGTTTCTGACCACTGTTTTCAAACTATATGTTGTATCTTTTTCATCTCTATGTCTCCTCCATGAAAGCCCACGAAAAACCTCTCCCTCTAGTTTCGCCACAATGGAACTTTTCATTGTCTCTCTACTTCTAGTTAGTCTAAACTGCTATCCAGGAAATACATATTTGCAAAATCAGCCTTGCTAAACAGGAGGGAAAAATATATGAAAGCATAATAGTTGCTTGATAAGCGTTTATTGATTCACAATCTGGTATCCTACTCGTATACATATGTGAGCAGTCCATTCAAGATTCTCCCGATAAGCTACTGCACACATGATGAAGGTAAAATGGCCCTTTATTTTAAACTGATTAATGTTATTGTACTTGCTAACGAGTTTCAGATAGTCTACGGCAAGCAGCTAATAGAGCTCTCATAAAGATTTTCAAGGTCAGCCTCTTTCCACCCCTGACCCCCATCCTATTATATAAAATGTTTTGCTGTCTGACAATCCCAAAGCAAAAATGCCGGGGAGGGCGCAGGCAAGTGAAAAAAGCTACTTTTTGGATCCCAGAAATTCATTGCTAGTGGAACTGGAAATTAATGCAATTCCGTTGGAAGGTGATTTGGCAATATCTGTCAACGGTTTAAACGCATATACTTGGTGATTTAGCATCATCTTATTTGGAATGTATCCTAAAGATTGGTGAATGTTTAAATTCTTAACTGCAAGGATATAACACCATATGGATTATTTCACTATTGTTGTGGCCTTTGGGTTTTAAATTCGTTTGACCAAAAAAAACTTCTCATGGTAATAGTTATTTCAACTGTGTGATACTGCTCTGCAGTATCATACCATAGATAATCTGTTCTTAAATAAAATATAAATACTTTCCCTCCAGGATGGCTTTGGAATTAAACATATAAACACATGGAGGGAGAGCTCATATAAATTAAAGGCTCATGACAGTTAGTACGAGGAGGACAGAAATGTTTGTTCACTGAACTATGCCAAGCACCTAGAGAAATGCCTCTCCTTGAATAGGAACCTAATAAAATGTTTATTGAATGCTGAAGGGGACAGTGATCTCTGATACTCCAGTGTGTTCTGGAGGCAAGTAATTCTGCAGGATATTAACAGGAGTTTCATGATTAGTTAAATGGCTTCTTTACTGGAGGACTCTTCACATCTTTTACAAGAAATGTGCATGTGAACTATGAGGATTTTGTGGCTTTAAAACCACAACACACACTTTGGGAAACACTAGGCTGGTCTGGCACAGAATGATATTTTTGATGTTTTCATAGATGATATAACCCCAGAATCAGTAGGACACAGGAAGAATTTTCTAGAAGTGGTAATGGGCCAGGTGGACACAAGTATGATAGACTTCTCCCAGGTGTCAGTGTTATTAGTGTCGTTTACGACCCAGCAGTCACATAATTTTACACACACACACACACACACACACACACACACACACGGAATCCACTACCATGGAATCTCATTCTTACCATATTGTAAAAAAAAACAAACTAACAAGACACTAATCTTCTGGTATAAACTGAAATAAGAGTGTCAGATAAGCCATGGATACTCTGAGTTCCTTAAGATTAAGAGAGCTTCTTGGAAAATAGTTACATCTGTACCAACGTTTATCTCTTAACACCATGAAAAAGAAGCAACAACATTTCAGGAAGTAGATTAGTAACATTTTATTCCAAGATCCAGGCTTAGGAAGGAAAAGTTTTTTGAACGCAGGACTAGTATTAGAGCTTACTTGGAATTAAAATTTTTCTGTCTCTAAGCCTGTGATTATAGTGGCATTATAAATTTATGAGCGCAAATACTTTGGACAATAAAACATAGCTAAAAATGGAGAAAGTCCAGTCTGCTGAAGAATAACCCAACCCAAAACAACATGAAGTAGTACTTTTATGAGCATACACACATTCTGAGAAGTTTTGCAGTGACGTCAATTTAGACTTTTCCATTTGAAATATGTACAAATATTGTTCCATCATACCATTTTCTGTTGTATCAAATTCAGGTCCTTTGAATTTGTGTCCATTTCCATCTTTAAAAGATAATCAGTGTTGAGACAGCAATCATTTCCACTATAACAGAAATATGTTTTAAGTGTTACTTTTAGTAACAAAGTGGTTATTTGCACTACCTATTGAATTTGCTGGCTTCTTTGGTACAGAAATATTTAGAACACATTTGCATTTTTCTTAGTCCTCGCAAAACAAAATAAAACAATGCACTATGAATAACTTTGTGGGAATTTCATGAACCTTTACAGAAAGTCTTGCTGTTCTTGTCTCAGCTGTTTAATTGTAATGTCATAGTAACAGAAAGCAGCATACCCAATTCTGCATGGATGAATAAACACATTGAATAGGGAAGATTTCACAGAGTAAATCAAACACTGGATTAAACATTTTCTGCATAACAGACCACAAAATAGGCATTCATTTTACCAATGGATCCTTGGCATTAGAAGCAAATAGAAGTGCATACCAACGTAATTAAACTGAATATTCAGTGGCCTGATTGCAAAACTCCCCTATATTTTACCAAACTAACATGCAGTTAATTAGAGTTGCCTGAATATATTCAAGCACCTATACTGAAAAGATTAAGTATTAACGCTATTTGCATTTCATCATTTAATAAACGAACTTGTTTTCTTTTGTTTTATTATCCTCAAAGTTTGAACGTAGTAAATTTTCTGTATGGTTGCACAAAATAAAAAGTTCAGACAAACACAGAGAAATCTGCAATATGGAATGACTTCACATTTAATGGTATCTGATTTTTGATTTCTGATAACAAAAGAAGTTGTCAAGAGATGTGTATGCTAAGTGAAGTAAGTCAGAGAAAAACAAATACCAAATGATTTTACTTATACGTGGAATCCAGTGAACAAAATCAATGAACAAACAAAACAGAGACAAACCCATAGACACAGAGAACACTTTGACGGTTGCTGGAAGGGAGAGTTGGTGAGGGAAATGGGTGAAAAGCGAGGAGGGATTTTGAGGTGCAGACTGGAGGTTGCAGAACAGTCACGGGGATATAAAGTATATCGTAGGGAATATGGTCAACAAAGCTGAAATAACAATGTGCAGTGCCAGGTGGGTACGAGATTTATTGGGGTCACCACTTTCTAAGTTATAGAGATATCTAATCACTGTGTTGTACACCTAAAACTAACATAATATTGCATGTCAACTGTAATTGAAAAATTAAAAAATTATTTTAAAAAATAAACTAGGTATTTATTTTCAAAAGGTAAACTATTTCCCCCAAATTTGCTGACAAAAGTTCACGTCATAATTTATAACAGGGCTATTCATAGTAAAATGATTAAATGATTTTCCTTTCGACTAGTAGTCTCTCCTTTGATTTGTGTTTTATCAGTACAGTTTGTTTTTACTATAGTACATTTATATTTTATTTCAAGGCAAAAGCATATTTCATTAGTCCTTATCAGGAAGTGATTGAATAACCTGAGAGTCCCAGCTGTTTATAGTCTCTAATCCTCAAGGGGAATGGTTTGCTAAGTCTATGTGCAACTGAAATCATTAAAAGTAGAAATAATCATTTCATGTTTGGACTAACTGAATATAATGAGGTCCTTTGAGCTACATCTTATATTCTATATAGGTATACAATAAGGGTTTGGAGATAAACATATGAAATGCCTACTAAAAAGCAGGAATTGTCTCTGTATTTACGTAGCACCAATGTCTGCTGTTGCTCCCGTACCTTCTTGTGGAAGCTGCCCCCGCTACACTCCTGCCGAAAGGCAGCAGTCCCGTTGGAAATTCCACGTGACTTCAAATCTCCAACCACAGTGGACTGGAGGACAAAGATGAAAGCTGACCCAAGCCAATCCTAGCTGTACACCTAAGGCTAATATATTGTATGTCAACTATAATTAGAGATAATTTTTTTAAAAAGTGAGAAATCATGGCTTGCAAATATGTATACCTGGACCTGAGCCCTGTTTGAAAAAGATAACCTGGGCCAATCAGATTCCCTTTTCAGGAGATTCTATTAAAAATGACATATGTAGAAGATTTAGTGTAACAGAAGATGAAAGAAAGGATTGAAAATTGTCTTGAGGTAAACTAGGCTGGGGCAGCCTTTATGTGAGGCATTCATCTTGTGAATGACTATAACCAAAGTAAGTATGTGAAGAAGTCAACTGGTAGAGAGAAAGGAGAGTAGAGGAGACCTTTAAAGACAAGTACAGCCCTGGCTGGTGCGGCTCAGTGGATTGAGTGCCGGCCTGTGAACCAAACGGTCACCAGTTCTATTCCCAGTCAGGGCACAGGACTGGGTTGTGGGCCAGATTCCCCAGCAGGGGGCGCGCAAGAGGCAACCACACACGGATGTTCCTCTCTCCCTCCCTCCCCCTCTCTCTAAACATAAATAAAATCTTTGAAAAAAAGAAAGAAGTACAGATGTCATGAGAACAAAGGGAAGTACATGTGGCAAAGGTACAAAGGCAAAGACGTGTGGCCTCTGTCCCATGAAGATTGGCTGTGCTTTTTTTAATCCTCACATCCTGCAAACTCCTGTATCCTTACAATAATACCCCCTTTTCTTCAGGAAGCCTGGGTGAGTGTTGTGACCAAAAGAATTTTGATTAAAAATTT